ACATCTCAATCCTGCTGGTGCCAACATATCGTCCGCTGATGAGACAGATTAGGCCAACAAAGAGAACAGTCACTGTGTGGCCCAGGGATGTAGACTCTGTGCTCCAGGACTGTTTTCCGTGCATGGATTGGCAGGTCTTCAGAGAGGCGGTAACATATGAGGGAGAGGTGGACCTGGAGGAATACACCTCCTCTGTTCTTGGCTTCATCTCCAAGTGTGCGGATGATGTCATCACCACCAAGACAGTAACTTGTTATCTGAATAAGAAACGCTGGCTGAATGTTGAGGTGAGAGCTCTGCTGAAAGCCATGGATGCTGTGTTCGGAACGGGTGAGGCATCAAGACTCTGAGAGGCAAGGAAAAGACTGATTGCAGGAATTGCAAGGGTCAAAGTCACATCTGCCCAGAAAATTCAGGGTCACTTCATCACCAATGACCCCCCGCACATGTGGAAGGGCATCAAGTGCATCACGAACTACAACATCAGGGATGTACAATGCCCAAGTGACCCCTCATTACTAGATACGCTCAATAAGTCCTATGCTCGCATTGAGGATCCTAAACCCCACCCCCGCCCCCCCCCCCCCGACTTCCCCCCCCCCGCCCCCCCCCCCCCCCCCCCCCCCCCCCCCCCCCGTGTGACCCCAGCAGATAAGAAGAAGAACTTCCAGGGAATCAACCCCCGTAAGGCTGCAGGCCTGGACAACATCCCAGGGTTGGTACTGAAAGACTGCACACACCAGCTGTCTGAAGTGTTTGCAGACATCTTCAACATCTCACTGTCAATGGCATTTGTCCCCACCTGCTTTAAGTCTGCCACTATTGTCCTTGTACCCAAGTGCTCCACAGTGACAGGCCTGAATGACTATCGACCTATAGCCTTAACATCGGTAGTCATGAAGTGCTTCAAGAGGCTGGTCATGACCCACATCAAGGACTCCAGCGACATCATTGTGGACCCATATAAGTACACCTACAGAAAGAACTGCTCCACTGCTGACGCCATCTTATCAGTGGTCCACACAGCCCTCAAACAGCTGGAGAGCAGAAAATCTTCCAGCCATTTGCTCTTTTTGGATTTCTCCGCAGCTTTCAACACCATCATCCCACAGACCCTGTTGCAGAAGCTATCCTTTCTTGGACTAAGTCCCACACTGGGGAACTGGATTCTGGACTTCCTGACCAACAGACCTCAGACTGACAGGATCCACAACATCGTCTCCTCCTCCATCACCCTCAGCACTGGCTCGCATGCTGAGCCCCCTCCTGTTCACTCTGCTGACATATGACTGCTCGGCTAGACACCCCCAGCTGCCATATAGTGAAGTTTGCGGACAACACAGCAGTAGTGGGACGCATCACAAACAATGATGAGTCCAAATACAGAGAGGAGGTGGAAAATCTGGTGCAGTGGTGCAGAGACAATAATCTCTGCCTCAATGTGAAGAAGACCAAAGAGACTCAGGAGGCAGATGTATAAAATAAAATACTTTTACTACTACTAATAATAATAATAATAAATCAAAAGGCTGACATGGCAGCAAAAACTTACAAAAACAGATTCAGGAACAGGATAAAACAGGATCAGACAGGCAGGGCAGGACAGGACAGGCAATACGCAACGACGAACCGACAACGACAGAATTAACAGACAGACTTTATATACACAAACAGGACATGACACAGGTGAGTCAAGTAAACTTACACCTTGTTTTGTTGGTCCTTTCCGCATAAAAAAAAAAAGATTAACCCTGTTGCTGTCTACTTCCTCAGACGGCTGAGGCGAGCTGGTCTGGAAGCTCAGTCTCACCTCCTTCTACAGGTGTGCAGTGGAGAGCATCCTGTGCTCCAGCATCAACGTGTGGCATGGAGGTTGCACAGCTGCAGAAAGAAAAGCTTTGCAGAGAGTGGTGAAGGCTGCACAGAAGATGTTGGATTCAGTCTCCCCACCATCACAGACATCTACACCTCCAGATGCAGGAAGAGGGCCACCTGCATCATGAAGGACCACACTCACCCAGCACACACACTTTTTGCCCCACTTCCCTCAGGAAGGAGGTTGAGGAGCATTAAGTTTAGAACCACTAGACTGAGGAACAGCTTCTACCCTGAGGCTGTTAGACTCATGAATCTCTATGTAGTGAACTAGGCCTGATGTAAAAAACCTTGACCTTAGGACCATATGGGACAGAAACTGTCATTTTATTGATTTTAATCCAGAAATACAGGTTGACCCATCCTGACTTTCTTT